TTTTTATTTTTTAAAATATTTTTAAAATACAAAAATAAAAATTAAATACCTTCTAGAAAGGTCTAGAGATTATTTTCTTAATGGAAATGTGCTTGCGCTTATTTAGAAATATGGTTATGATTATTTTTTAAAATGATTTGTATTTAAAAATATATTAAAATATTTTTTTATTTTTTAAAATTATTTTTTTATTAGCGAATAAAAATAATCTAAAAATAAAAAATAATTTTTTAAATTTTTTTACCATAAAACTAGACACTGCCACGTAAGAGAAGAAAACACAACTTTTTTTTTGTTTCAATGTAAATGGTACCAAAGGTAAAGCCCATAGATTTCGACCCAATTACGTATCACAAGCCCGATTCCAAAACCCGGTGGTTTGATTCAGAAGCTAAGGCATTTTTTCTTATCCTTTTCCCCTGAAGGAAAATGCATCTCCAATAGACTCATACACACAAAGACAACAAGACACCATTGCCTCCAAATGGCTCATCCCGTATAAATCAATCATATATATATAAATTTTTATTTAATAATTTAATTATATTTTAAAAACCTCTCAAAGTATATCTATTAAAATAATTTTATTATTTAATAAATAATTTTTTTAGTATTTGATTATACAATAATTTTACCATGTTTTAGATTTTTGATAATAAAGAATTTTGATCGGTAACTCGCAATAATAGGCTTTTTGTTGTTTGTGACCTAATTCTTGTATTTTAGGATTTGTTTATTTTTGTGTTTTAAAAATATTTTTAAAAAACTTTAAATTTATTTTATTTATTTATTTATTTTAAATTAATAATTTTTAAAAATTATAAAAAATTATTAATATGTATTTCGGCGTGAAAAGTTGATTACATAGTGGAATTAATAGTTACCTTTTATGTCTTTTTTACTGTGTGTAGGAAGCATACTTGCTGCTGCAAATAATTCTTAGGCATTGGATGGTGATAATATTTCAGTTGGTAGCAGATGAAGTCCTGAAAACTTTAAAATTAAATTCTACTTTTCTCATGGATGTGTCCTAGAATGAAGTGAATGAGTTTGAATATAGGCATGTCTTTGAATTTGATTGTTCATGTAAAAATAATTTTTTTGTCTGAATACTCTGATGTTTAAATGTTTAAATGAATATTAAATATAGAAAAAGTTGTATGCAAGAAAGAAAATGAATGATGTAAAAGAACTAATTGGCGTGAAGCTTTTTAATAAACTTGAATTGCTTGAATTTTTATTTAATGAGTTGAGGTATTTATAAATATTAATTAGGCCAGTTTATTTATTGAAAAATAGTTTGACGACGGAGAATATTTGGAAAGTTGAGTAGTTATTTTATAATTGATACATAGATAAGATTGGTATTAGTCATTGAAATCATCATATGGACTCGAGACTCTTTGGTGAATCCCCCCCGCCAGCACCCATGCCGAGGACTGGCTTTGTTGATTTTTAAACTCCACAATCTTGAAAAGTGATGTTTGAAAATTAACTTTTTAAATTTATTTATATTTATTTATTATTAAAAAAATTAGTAAATAAAAAAAATATTTTTTAGTTAAAAAAGTTATCTTGATTTCTAAAAAAGTGTTTTTCTAAAAAATTTAGACGGAAAATACTTTTCAGAAATTATAAAAAATTTTCCATAATTAATCATCTTTATTTTAATATTGAGTTTTTATTCTGTGTTTTTTTGTAAAATATTTGATTTTTTTATATTCACTTTCACCCTTTAATCAATAAATGTTATTTACCCCTTTAGTTTTTTATATTAATTTTAGTTCTCATTTTTTATATTATTTTAATAAACTTGAGAAAAATAAAATATTAATAAGTTACGTTTTAGTTTATTTTGCATGACATAATCAAACACAAAAAATTATTTTTTAATTTATTTTTTATTACACTACTAAACATCAAAAAATAATTTATTTTTTATTTTATTTTTTTCAAAATTCACTTAAAAAAGAATCACTTTCCAGAAAACGGCCCGAGCTGAAAGTTCAAGGGCTGAAGCATGCAAGGTGCCCACTAATTTGCTCAACCTCTCAGCCGACAAAGCATCCCAGTTTTCCTGGATGGACAGTGATAGCTGGTGTTGCCAATAATTTGGTCAATGGATGATATGAGACGCTGCACCTTTTGAATAAAAATCATGTAAAGAATTCTAACTAAAGTGTGCCCTTTTGAAGGTCCATGCATGTGGGCTCAAATATTATTATTTTAATTTCTTTATTTTTTATTTTTTTAGATTTGATCTGTATTATTTTAATTATTATTTATTTTATTTGAGATAATTTATAAAATTATATTTTTTTCAATTTCATTCTTATTCTATTTTTTAATTTATAAGATTTGTTATTCATTATTTTAATAAACTTGAGAAAAATAAAATATTAATAAGTTATTTTCCAGCTTGTTTTTCATGATATAATCAAACACTTAAAAATATTTTTCAAGCTATTTTTTAATACATTGTTAAACATCAAAAAATTAATTTACTTTTCTAAAATTTATTTTTTTTAAATTCACTTAAAAAAAATTAGTCTCCGGAAAACAGCCCGAGCTGAAAGTTCAAGGGCTGAAGAATGCAAGTTGCCGATAATTTGCTCAACCTCTAAGCCGCCAAAGCATCCCAGTTTTCCTGGATGGACAGTGATAGCTGGTGTTGCCAATAATTTGGTCAATGGATGATATGAGACGCTGCACCTTTTGAATAAAAATTATATGAAGAATTCTACCTAAAGTGTGCCCATTTGAAGGTCCATGCATGTGGGCTCAATCTTAATTTCAAACTACTAGGACACGATTCTTTAGGCAAATTTAACTTCAATGTCCCAAATATAAAACCATACATAAAACGGAAGCTAGATTTCTTGAGGAGATCTGTGACTGCTAAGTGTTTAAGTTTCATCGGAGAGCTTGTTAATCATATATATAGTCCAAGAAACACGATCAACGAGTTATAATTCAACTGATATTAACGATTTTTGTATATAATAATCATAGGAGCATTCAAGTACTCCGGTGAAATTGGCGAGGTACAAATACAGGCGTTGTTAATTTATTCTTGAATGCTAAACAAGCATTAATTGAAGTACAATGGAGCTCAAACCTCTGAAGGGAGAAGAAGCACAGCTGCATCAAGCGTTTTCATCTAGAGCTTGACTTTTCCTGCAAGCATGTATGTCTTATAGATAGCAGTCCTGACCATTTCTGGCTCGCCCCAAGCCCTCTCAAATTCCTTGAGAAGCTCTTCAGGCAATAAATCCACACCTTGTTCCTTAGCTATATGGACCACCGGAAGTGACCTGAGGAACTTCAAGAGTCCCTGAAACGACATCTCCTTTCGCATGTCCAATTCCAGCGGCTGCCCCTCGCACCCAACACCTACACTTTCGAAAGGAAATGGAAGCGTCTTGTAACACTGTAATGCAATCTTGAAACTTTGGCTTTGGAAAGGTATACCTAGCTCGAAAAACCTCCTTAAGATACCATCAATTTCTGGGCTAAACTCCATGCTACCATAGCACCAGACCGCAATTATACCTCCTGGCTTTCGTAGAACTCGCTTCACGATCGGGTAGAACCTGTCAAGATCAAACCACTGCACAGCAGTAGACGCAGTAATCAGATCGACTGAATCTTCACCACCAATCAAGCTCACTAGTTCATCATCAGGCATTGCTAACGGGGTGTGCACGTATTGAACTTGGGGATGTGGTATGGCATGCTTTAGTTGTTCGTCACTGATGTCTGTTGCTATCACTTTCTTGTATTGCTCAGCTACCTGAAAATAAATTTATGGTTATTTTTATCAGACTAATCATTCAACACATCCGGATTTCTTCTTGATGATCGTTGCCATATCTAATTAGTTCATAGATATACCAAGAAGACATTCCGCGTCCAAATTAGGCATGTCTAGAGTAATAATTAAGTCTATGATCAGAAGTAAATGCATGAAACGAAAGATGCTTATGACCAGCGGGCAGTGGCCAAGATCGATGATATCTCAATATCTTTAGCTGTCGTTGAAGAGTGAGAGAGACAGAGAGAGAACTAACACCAATAGCCGCTTGACCATTGCCGGTGCCAACATCCCAAGCCACAGAGTGCTGTGGGGTGAGAGCAGCCAACATTGAGAACCATTCGCTCGGATATCTGGGCCTTGCCTCCGAATATATAGCTGCCTGCTCGTTGAACAGATGATCTGCCATATTAAATCTCGTGAATTCTGATGTTATATCTGAAACTGAGTGCTCTTTGGAGTGAATGAAGGACTGTCATTTATAGGATTCATGCCATATCTGACTATTCAACAGGGTGACCTGAAACTTGGAGAATTCAGAGAAAAAACCATAGCATGTCTACATCTTCTACGCACTTAGAAAAGTCGGTCAAAAATGTACGTATGACCCCCCAAAAAAACAAGATTATCTAACTCAAGGGAGCGACTAACAACTAGAACCTTAACATCCCTTGGTTTAGAAAGGAACCTGCATGAATGGCCAAACCTGCAACCTTTTTAATATTAATTGGTTTCAAACTTCCAATAGTATCTCTTTAACAAATAAATAAGCATTAATTATAATATAAAAATAATAATCATTCAACATCAAACTCCTCACAAGAAATAATGAAATTTATTTTTAATATGTTTAGTATTATAGAGTATAATGTTTTCCACCAAATACAATCAATGTTTCACTCATTGAAGCATAGAAGGTAAAATTCACAGCCTAACACTTCCGATAAGCGTGAAAGACTTGCCGCTGCCAGATCAAATTGTTTTCAATGGCTAGAAATTGTTTCAAACTTCAACCCAATCCCATCTTCTTTTTCATCCTTGGAATTTTGCTAAATAATAAAGGCCGCTATTACTTTAAAAAACAATTTATCTTGATAATTTTATAAAAAAGAAAAATGGTTTTTTAAGCTTCTTCGTGTATATAAATCCACTTATAGTTGTGGTAGCTATCTTCGTGTTTTTTTTCCCCCTCCCTACATTAGTCTGTTCGAAGAAGATGCTGAATTTACAAGGAAGAAATGATCCTTATTTTCTAAAGGTGGGAAATTTGACCTGCAATGTAGATCTGCTGCTAAAGGGGGCCCACGTAATTCTTGGTCCTACAAAAACTCAAAGACAGGTAACAACTAGATCAATGGTCTGCATACGTTGCGGTTCAGTTTTTAACTTTTTAGATTAAAAAAAAAAAATAGATACCGCCAATATATTAAAAAACCAATAACATTGAACAACAGAAATTAAAAAAAAAAACCTGAATTACCAACTAGGACCCACACATCTAAACTTTGATATTTTCTTATAGGATGGATAAAGATTTAAATCACTAAAATAGTTAATCTTTGTATTGTTGAGTTAATTTAATAAGAGAGTTTTGAAAAAAAAAATGTAATCTTGAGTGATTTTTTGGATTTTAGTTTATTTTTTTATTTTTAATTGATTTTTTGAGTTATTTGAAGGAAAAAGTAAATTTATTTAGTCTATATATATATTTTTAGATTTTTTATTTAAAATATTGTATTTGAAGGAAAAAGTAAATTTATTTAGTGTATGTATTGTTTTTTTAGATATTTTATTTAAAATATTATTGAAAATGAATTTTTAGACGTAAAATACTTTTCAACCAACTTTCCAATAACTTATATTGCTAGGATCTAAGTAAAATAGATGTTGTGCTGTGTCAGATAGAAATTTAGTTTATTTTTGAATTTACAAACTTAATTATATCATGTTAAAATAATTCTAAAATAGTTAGATTAGATTAAAAAGATGGATTGAGATGTTATAGTATTTATCCATTAGCCAGCAAAAAAATTCTCTTTACCTAATATTTTTTTTTTAAGTGTAAAAAAAATAAATTTAAGTTTAGTCTTCAGCATAATACGAGTCAATAAAATTTTATTTGTTTTTATATTTTAAAATTATTTTTAAAATTTTTTATTTTTTTTAATTTTTAATTTTTAATAAATATTTTTTTAGTATTTTTAAATTATTTTAATATACTGATGTTAAAAATAATTTTTTAAAAATAAAAAATATATTATTTTAATATATTTTTAAATAAAATATATTTTAAAAATAACCATAACCATGCTATTAAAGACACTTGCAAGATTCATGCATGAAGCTGTTGCTAAAATGGATGAAAAGCATACAAACACGTTATTGGAAGAGCAAGAAGACAAGTCATACAATAGGAGCAGGCAAATAAGCTGGAACTCTTTATTTCAATAAACTTTTCTCCTCGCTGAAGCTTGAAAAGAAAATCTCACAGCCTGACTTTTCCAGCAAGCATAAAAGCCTTGAAGATGACAGATCTAACCACTTTAGATCCACCCCAAACAGTCTCCAACTCTTTAACAACAGTCTGAGACAGCAAATCAACACCTTGGTCCTTGGCTGTAACGACTGCTGACCATGAACTGATCATCTTCAAAAACCCCTCAAATGACATCTCCTTTGGGATGTCAAGTTCTAGTGGTTTCCCTTCAGAACCCAAACCAGTACTCTCAAAAGGAAATGGAAGTTTCTTGTAACCTTCGATTGCGAGAAAGGCATTCGGGTGCCAAAAAGGAAGAGTTGAGTCATGAAATCGCTTAAATGCTGAATCAAATGCAGGACTCACTACAGCATCATTGTAGCACCAAACAGCAAGTAGACCTCCAGGCTTTCTTAGAAGGCGTGCAACGAGGGAATAAAATTTTGGTAGATCAAACCAATGCACAGCCTGTGCTACAGTCACCAAATCAACTGAATCTTCACCCCCAATTAAGCTTATTATCTCATCATCAGACATGGATAATGGGGTGTGGAAGTATCGAACCCGTGGATGTGTCATTGAACGTTTTAATTGAGCTTCACTCACATCAGTTCCAATTACTTGCTCATAGTGCTCAGCAACCTACCAAGAAAAGCTAAACACAATGATCCAGCAATCTTGATAAATCCATGGACTTATGCAGGCTAAACTACAGAATACTGAAGTTGAAAATGAGTTGAATAATTTGCATTTTTTTTCACTTGCAGCTATAGTAAGTTGGCAATCACCTTTCAGTTACTTTGTTCTCTCAGAAAAACGAAGTTGAAAGATTCTTGTAACTGTTCCATTTCACTCACCACAACGCATATAAGATGAAATGGCAGAATGCAACTAGAGCCTGAACTTCATCTAACTTTAAAAGAGAGTGTTCCACCAATGTAAGCAGAAAACTTGTGTGTAAAAAGGTCTATGTAGCATGATACACAAGGTAGCCGTTTAATTAGAAAATCTACAACATCCTGAAGTTTTGACCAGAAAACAACCGCTTTTCAACCAAACGAAGCCAAGAAAATTCATTCAATTCTACCATTGGGGTAAGAGGTTTAGATGAATGGTTCATTTGTTCTTGCAACGTAAATTAGATGAAGTGAAATCTTCCAGTTGCTTATCAAAATTGAGACAATCAAATTGGGAAGCAATACGTTATGTGAGATCAAGTATTAGCAACTAAAACACCATCACAGAAATCAAGTAGCAATGACACACGACTTATCCTTCTAAACCTAGAGATGCAAAGAGAAATCTGCAGGCCCATCTGATCGTTTTCTTGTTTAGAAACATAGATTCACTCTTTCCCTTTTCTTTTTAGAGAAAGAATACCAATCTAAAGCTAATAATCAAACCTTTTGGCCCAGTTGAGGAAAATATATATCAGTAGAGATACAATATCAAAAGGGAAATAAAATCAAGAATTCGAAAATTGAATTCATGTGGATATATAGACACATGAAATCTTTAGCCTAAAACAAGAGACTTAGTTTTTTTGATTAAATCAAATAACCTTATTCTTGGTCAAAATCATACAGAGCAGGTGTAGAATTAACATAACTGATCTTAGGCTAAATCAAGGAGATCCATCTGATAATAAGATGGCAGTTAACAATGAGAGGATGATTTGGACCCATTGAATAACACAGCACAATCATCTGATCATTATGAGAGAAAAATGAAGCAAGAAACTTGAGGAATAAATAAAATTAGTTCGAGAAAAGGAAAGGAAAGAGAGAGAACTAACACCAAGAGCAGCTTGGCCATTGCCAGTGCCAACATCCCAAGCCAAAGAGTGGTGAAGGGTGTGATCGGCTAGCATTGAATACCATTGGGCTGGATAAGTCGGCCTTCCATCCAAGTATAGATCAGCTTGCTTGTCAAACAGTCCTGCCATTTCTCAAATAAGCTATTATATTTTGGACGCAGATTAGTATACAGAGAGCACCTTCTTGTTCTGCTAATAATATATAGTGGGGAAAAGTGACTTGCAAGCGTTACGATTAAAAACGGACAAATCAGTATTAAAAAAAAAAAAAAAACTGACAGCTCCAAAACAAATTTTTTTTTTTTTGGCAGAGAGCAGCATTCATGGTGGGGTTACTATGGAATGACAATTTTGTCCCTTGAAGAAGTTCTCCAAGGTTTGTAGCAGAAATAATTTCTCTCTGTACTTCTGACAATTTTCTGGATCGAACTCCTTTTTCCCGTTTTCAATGTTATTGTCTGATACAAGTTACGGTGTAGGGAGGTTATTTTTTTATCATCCTTCATGCTTGTTTTTACGTTTTTTTGTGCATCTGTATACTGTACAACTTGTCATTTCAATGCCGAGTTCAAATTAAGACTTTGTGAATGATTACAAGTTACAATGATATCCTTTGGGTTGTTTCTGAGCAAGTGAGAATTGAGAAGATGCTCTTGTTTGAAATTATCATGTATGTATTCCTCTGGTTAAAATAATTTAAATTAAATACAAAAAAAAACTAGAATTCTGAATAATCTGTATATTTTGAATACTTAACTTTAATCTAAATACAAATAAAATATATATAGATTAAACTGAAAATATTATTCTACCCTTAATAAATAAGATTACATAAATATTATTTAACATCTCCTCTCAAATTCATGATGCGGCAGCTACGAGCATCGAGAGTTTGCCAACTAAAAAACAAAAACGAGAGATGAAATGTGTCTTGGTGAAGAAATCTGCAATCTGCAAGGAAGAAGGAACAAAAAGCAATGGTGTCATGCTTGAGATGATGACGAGTAAGATGACAATTGATCTCAATGTGCTTAGTTTGCTCATGAAAGACCGAGTTGTGAGCAATCTGAATAGAACTCTGGATGTCACAATACATAGGAGTAGGATGAGAAAAGGAAACTCCCATATCAGCAAGTAACCAACGTAACCAAACAATCTCTTTGGTAGTAGATGTCACGACACGATATTCTACTTCGGTGTATGATTGAGAAACAATAGATTATTTCTTGCTTTTCCAATAAATAAGAGAATTACCTAAAAAGATGCAGAACCCGGTAATAGACTTGCGATATGTGGAATCACTACCATGATCAGCATCAGAGTATGCACGTAACTCCAAGGAAGAGGTGGATGAAAGTAAAAGACTCTGAAAAACTGTACCCCGAAGATATCGCAAAATACGAAAAACAGCAGCTCAGTGAACAGTAGTATGAGAAGCAACAAACTGACCAACAACATGAACAACATATGCAATATCTGGACGAGTAATGGTAAGATATACCAAACTCCCAACAATAGTGTGGTATAAAGTAGGATCTATCAAAGGTAAACCATCAGAAGAAGAGTACATTGCGTTAACCTCAATGGGATTATCTATAGTCTTGTTATCAGTAAGTCTAGCCCACTCAAGAATATCTGCAACATATTTCGACTAAGAAATAAGGTAACCTCTAGGTGAATATGCTACCTCAATACCCAAGAAATATCGAAGATAACCCAAATCCTTCATTTCAAATCATCTAGCCAACTCTGTCTTCAAAACTGAAATACCATCAATGTCATCACCAGTAATAATCATGTCATCAACATATAAAGACAGAATGATATGACCTGTATCAGTGCACTTAATAAAAAGAGCAGAATCATAACTGTTAGAAACAAAGCCAAGAGATGAGATCACAATAGAGAATTTCTCAAACCAAGCACAAGGTGCTTGTTTGAGACCATATAATGCTTTCTTAAGCTTACAAACACATCCAGAGTCATGTGAAATATCAGGAAAGGATGCCATGTAAACTTCTTCTTGAAAATCTCCATTCAAAAAGGTATTGTTAACATCAAGCTGAGAAATATACCACTGACGAATTGAAGCTATGGCAATAAAAGTACGAATAGTAGTCATTTTTGTAACTGGGGTAAATGTCTCCTCATAATCCATACCATACTATTGAGAATATCCTTTTGCAACCAGCCTAGCTTTGTATCGCTTAATAGACCCATCGGAATTAGTTTTAATCTTATACACCCAATGACAACCAACAACACTCTTACAAGCAAATAGAGGAACCAAATCCCAAGTATCTGTTCTATGCAAAACAGAAAGTTTCTCATCCATAGCTTGCTGCCAAAGTGGATCAAGAATTGCCTATTTATAGGAAAAGGGGTCAAAGAGACAATGAATAGAAGCTAAAAAGGAAGTAAATGATGAAGAATAACAAGAAAAAGCAAAATCGGGTAGTAGGCGAATGGGCTAACGTGGAGGTGGATCCACAATCTCAGATGAAGCTTGAGGGGCTGTGAATGAGAATGGAGTTTCCGGTGTGCCAGAGAGTAAAGTACCAGT